GTGACAGCATTGCATCATGCACAGGTTGTCCGTGCGTGACCACACCACCTCCTTCCTCCTCCAAGACTCCTGCACCCTCCCCAAGACTCCTGCACCCTCCCCAAGACTCCTGCACCCTCCCCAAGACTCCTGCACCCTCCCCAAGACTCCTCCACCCTCCCCAAGACTCCCGCGCCCTCCCCAAGACTCCTGCACCCTCCCCAAGACTCCTGCACCCTCCCCAAGACTCCTCCACCCTCCCCAAGACTCCTGCACCCTCCCCAAGACTCCTGCACCCTCCCCAAGACTCCTCCACCCTCCCCAAGACTCCTCCACCCTCCCCAAGACTCCTCCACCCTCCCCAAGACTCCTCCACCCTCCCCAAGACTCCTGCACCCTCCCCAAGACTCCTGCACCCTCCCCAAGACTCCTCCACCCTCCCCAAGACTCCTGCGCCCTCCCCAAGACTCCTGCGCCCTCCCCAAGACTCCTGCACCCTCCTCAAGACTCCTCCACCCTCCCCAAGACTCCTGCACCCTCCCCAAGACTCCTCCACCCTCCCCAAGACTCCTCCACCCTCCCCAAGACTCCTGCACCCTCCCCAAGACTCCTGCACCCTCCCCAAGACTCCTGCACCCTCCCCAAGACTCCTGCACCCTCCCCAAGACTCCTGCACCCTCCCAAGACTCCTGCACCCTCCCCAAGACTCCTCCACCCTCCCCAAGACTCCTGCACCTTCCCCAAGACTCCTCCACCCTCCCCAAGACTCCTGCACCTTCCCTAAGACTCCTGCACCCTCCCCAAGACTCCTGTACCTTCCCCAAGACTCCTCCACCCTCCCCAAGACTCCTGCACCCTCCCCAAGACTCCTGCACCCTCTCCAAGACTCCTGCACCCTCTCCAAGACTCCTCCACCCTTCCCAAGACTCCTGCACCCTTCCCAAGACTCCTGCACCCTCTCCAAGACTCCTGCACCCTCTCCAAGACTCCTCCACCCTCCCCAAGACTCCTGCACCCTCCCCAAGACTCCTGCACCCTCCCCAAGACTCCTGCACCTTCCCCAAGACTCCTCCACCCTCCCCAAGACTCCTGCACCCTCCCCAAGACTCCTGCACCCTCTCCAAGACTCCTCCACCCTCCCCAAGACTCCTCCACCCTCCCCAAGACTCCTCCACCCTCCCCAAGACTCCTCCACCCTCTCCAAGACTCCTGCACCCTCTCCAAGACTCCTCCACCCTCCCCAAGACTCCTCCACCCTCCCCAAGACTCCTCCACCCTCCCCAAGACTAATGCTATATATAGATTTACAACCAATCCTATTCCAAGTATAAATTATTATGCATCTCTCCCGCCTGTGCTCTAGGAAATACAGATTTAATTTTTATAAACAGTCCCAATTAAATAGATGATTTATTTAGGTCGTTCTAGCAGTAAAGGATCTCTAGATGGTCTCCGTGTCAGCAATTTCGCCAGCATTGAATGGGGCTGTTAGTATGCAACAATATTCCACCCAAGAGAGCACTAGTGTCTTGAAAAGTATCATCATTGGTATGGCATCCCTTGTTTGACAGGTTCTTGTTATCCAACCTGTCACATTTGTCATTGGTGACAGCTTAATATGTTCACTGTATATAACTTACCCTATCCTCACTTCACTACATGTTATGCTATTGCTACCTTATCTACGTCACAGAATACAGTAATTAGAGCACTATTGTATTCATTACATAGTGTGTCATTGTCTTCTATACACTCGAGAATTAATACGTAAGTTATACATGCGATAGTTGATGATTGTGTTGTGTGTGGAGGCTGAGAACACTCTGAACATGGTCAGGGTAGGCCTACCTCGTGATTACTAATGACACTCTTGTGTTAATGCCCAATTAAATAGATTACCAAGTCCGGCTCCCTCCCAGACTATTCGTCTCCCTCAGTAACTCGTCCTCCAAACACAGACCCAAAGGTGATTCCATGCATCCGCCAAACCCCCTGGGACCAGATTCACGAAGCAGTTACGCAAGCACTTACGAACCTGGGGCCAGATTCACGAAGCAGTTACGCAAGTACTTACGAACGTGTCCATCTTTCCTCAATATTTGGCGACTTTGGTTACATTTATTAAACAGTTTACAAACATGAAAACTTGCCAATCAACTGTTGTTATTGTTATAAACAGCCTCCTGGTGCTTCAGAGCTCATTAACTGTTTAATAATTGTAAACAAAGCCGCCAGAGATTGAGTATAGATGGACAGATTCGTAAGTGTTTGCGTAACTTCTTTGTGAATCTAGCCCCTGTTTATGTATGAAAAACGGTTTACACACGACTCTCACAACCCATCCTCGACTCGAGTCCATTCCATCCAGCGGTCGACCCCACAGACGCATTCATAAACTTTTACATGTTGTTCATTCAAAACAGGAATTTTCTCAAATATAAATTAATATTATAATATATTAGCATATTGGGCATAGGTTAGGTTAGGTGTTTAGGTTCTGTTGGGGATTATTTGTATTTGTAGTACGTGGGTGAAGCATTTATAGCGTTGTGGTTCGAACACAAGTCGTCAGTGAAGCACTTGTTCCGGAAGTGTTCGGACGTCATCAGTTGTGAGTCGTGTGTAAACCGTTTTTCATTCATGAACAGCTGGGGGTTTGGCGGGTGGATGGAATGGTCTTTGGGTCTTTGTTTGAAGACCCAAACTGAGCTGACGGGGCTGATTCACAATTGATTTCGTCCGAACACTTCCGGAACAAGTGCTTCACTGACGACTTGGGAGGTACTGGTAAGTTGGCAAGGTACTGAGGTGCCTCGTACCTTTCCCCCCCCCCCCATGGTAGGGAGGTACTGGTAGGTACTAGTTGGTGGGTAAAGAATGGCCTGAGCCAGCTATCCTGGGGGTACTTTTAAAGGTGCAGTGAGTACGCTGTGTGGCGTAGAGGAGCGAGTGTGGTGGACGGAGGTCTGTGTAACGGGAGGAAGGGATGGTGTCTATCCTTTCATCCTGACTGAGGTCCACCTGCTCTCTAGGACAAGGATGCCAGATTGGGCTCCTTGTAGCCCAAATAAAAATCCAGCTATGTATGTCACAATTTGCAATTCTATGGGTTAATATTAAAATAAGCCGGGCTATGTATTCTTAATGTATCATTCTCTAAAAAAAAAAAAATACCGAAGACGCGAGCATTTGACCATTCACAGACGAGAGTAACTAATAACCGGGAGAGGTAAGCTAAGGGGTCAGTTTAAGACACGCTAAGGGAGTACCTACCGGACTGGAGTCCGCCACAGTGAGGGACGTGAAGTCCTACATCTCGTATAGGTCCACCTACTAGAGTACCGGGACAAGGGGAGTACCTAAAGGATCGGCGATGGGAACTATGTAATAGTTCAGTAGTCATTGGAAAGGCGGGGTCCTAGAGCTGAGGCTCTCTCCAGCAGACGTGATAGGTGAGTGCACACAGGTACTTTCCCCTCTCGGTAGAGACCCAGAGATCAATTCTGTACCTTCCTCCGGGTCGTGTGGTCCGCGGGCGCCGGCGACGCTGTGGCAACACTGTAGCAGTGTTGCGTCAGCCGTGTGTGGTAGTGTGCTGCCTCCAGGCTGGTCTGCCTCCAGGCTGGTCTGCCTCCAGGCTGGTCTGCCTCCAGGCTGGTCTGCCTCCAGGCTGGTCTGCCTCCAGGCTGGTCTGCCTCCAGGCTGGTCTGCCTCCAGGCTGGTCTACCTCCAGGCTGGTCTACCTCCAGGCTGGTCTACCTCCACGCTGGTCTGCCTCCAGGCTGGTCTGCCTCCAGGCTTGTCTACCTCCAGGCTGGTCTACCTCCAGGCTTATCTACCTCCAGCCCTCTACCCCCCTCCTCTCTACCTCCAGCCTTCTACTCTATTTCCGTCCTCTTTACTCCCCCCTCCACTCTATCATCTCTATCTATCACTCTCACCTTTCCTCTCACCGATAAATCGTGACTGTCTTTTTAGAAATCATGAGTTAATCAGACAGACAGGCAGACAGGCAGAGAGGCAGACAGGCAGGCAAGCAGAGCAGGAGAGTAAGCATGGGGAAGACCAAAGATCAACTAAGCTAGGTACAAGCCCAGGTAACTACCCCCAGAGGTGTGGGAGTGGGGCGCCACACTACAGAATTCCCCGTTACACTGTAGGGAAGGACAGGAGCCAGGATTGTGAAAGCCAAGATAAGATAACCTCGTAGCAGGAGCCCCGGGGCCCACGTGGCGTCTGTTGGGGGGGCCCCCGCGCTCTCTACCATGGGGGGGGGGGCCACTCCCTACTCTCTATCATAGGGGCGCCCCTACTTTCTGTCTACCATAGGGGCGCCCCTACCTTCTCTCTACCATGGGGCTCCCTCCCCCCTATGACTTCCTGTATCATCCTGGTAGAATCTTCTGATCTTGTAGCGAACACCTCTTTACAATCAAATACATATATCCTTATACAAGCTCAAACCAATTTGTCATATTTTAAACGTCTTAATGACTGCGTATGTAAATATGGGAGGACGCAGTAAGGTTTTAAAGAGGTTGGATTACGCGGGCTTTGGCAACCTTGCGCCGCGCCCCGTGCTTCAAGATGGCGTATGTGACGTCACAGTCTGGTGCGTGACGTCACTTCCCGCGCTCGATCTTGGTCCAAATCCCAACACTATATTTTCCCCCCGTGATTATTCTGGCCTGTTTGTTATGATCGTGGTGATATGGGGAGATTTATGGCGCTGGAAAAACACCGTCTTGTTTTTTTTCATGTTCAACGGATTAATGTGAACTGGAGTTGTATGTGTAGAAAACGCGGGATTAATAAACAGAAGAAAACGGTCCTGGCGTCGACGACTCCGAGGGGGGACTGGGAAATATGTAAAACTGTCACTTATAACTGTAGAAGCTCCTACATAAACCAATTCGATTTAGCTATAATCTCTTATCCACATAAACGAATGTATATTTTTCAAATGATGACATAATTATGTGGTTAATGGTCGAGTATTAATTGGGGTTTTGTGTTTACAGTGGTGCTGACGTTTGTCAACTGCTGGAACGTGAAGTGGGCGACGCGGGTCCAGGACATCTTCACCGGCGCCAAGCTCTTCGCCCTCGCTGTCATCATCATCACTGGCTTCGTCCAGCTGGGCAGAGGTAAGCCTCCACCTTCTACACGTAGTAACTTCTACTCCACAAGCCCGGCCTGGCCTCAGGCCGGGCTTGAGGCCAGGCCGGACTTGGAGAGTAGAACTCCCACAACCCATCCAGATGCAGGCGATGAGTCACAATAACGTGGCTAAAGTATGTTGACCAGACCACACACTAGAAGGTGAAGGGACGACGACGTTTCGGTCCGTCCTGGACCATTCTCAAGTCCATTTTGAGAATGGTCCAGGACGGACCGAAACGTCGTCGCCTCTTCACCTTCTAGTGTGTGGTCTGGTCAACGCCATCCAGGTATGGACGGATGGCTGCGTACGTCTGGTTGATGGGGTTCTGGGAGTTCTTCTACTCCCTACTCTCCAAGCCCGACCCGAGGCCAGGCTTGACTTGTGAGATAAAATAGTACCAATTCAGTTCTACTAGTCGAGCTGTCCTTGTTCATCCAGTCTATTCTATAATATCTTATATGTACTTATCATGTCTCCTCTTTTGCTTCTCTCATCAAGGCCCGTGAGACAGAGTTCTCGTAACTTGTTCTCGATGATTATTACTCATAAGTCAGGCTTGCTTCAGACATCTGAACAGTCTCATATCTACTTTGGTGTTTCACGCATTCCATGCCGGTTCTACATACTATAAGCGAAGTCATGTTTTATTTAATGGATTCTATCGATTAAAGATCTTTGCACGTTGTCAAAGTCAGCAGTTGAATGGTGGTGGTGTTGTGCTGCAATAGTCCACCCTAGAGAGCACTAGTGTCTTAAAGTATCATCATCACTGGTCCTTGTGATGATGATACATAAACCTTGCGTCCCTTGCTTGCAAGGATTTTTATTATCCAACCTGTCGTTAGTTTATACTTGTAACAGCTACTTTATTGTGTTCTTTAATAGTAAGGTCTTCCGACGGGATTATTCTAAAATCTTTTATATTATTTTATCGTTTAATAGTGTGACTTAACAGGGTTTTATGTAGTGTCCGTACCAGGAGAGAGTTATCAGGGGAAAGCGCCAAGCCATTACGACTATATAGCACTGGAAAGGGGTCAGGATAAGGATTTGGGATGGGACGGGGGATGAAGGAACGTTGCCCAACCACTTGTGGACGGTCGGGGATTGAACGCCGACCTGCATGAAGCGAGACCGTCGCTCTACCGTCCAGCCCAAGTGGTTGGGCTCCGTGACAGGAGGACTTTGAGATACATATTGGTACATCACCATACAAGCTGCAGGCGATGAGTCACAATAACGTGGCTGAAGTATGATGACCAGACCACACACTAGAAGTTGAAGGGACGACGACGTTTCGTCCCAATTCGTCCAGGACGGACCGAAACGTCGTCGTCCCTTCAACTTCTAGTGTGTGGTCTGGTCACCATACAAGCTGTCTTCCGTGGCGCCACTGTCCGTGCCGCCACGGAGCCTCGCTCTCCCTCGTGGCTTCTTTAAACTGCCACAAATGGTTGCTTCCCTTTTAATGGTGTGGTACACGACTCCTGAAGGGTTATCGTGACTCTGGCACGCAGACGATGCGTGCCATTGGCTGGAACGCGGGGTATGGGCCTCCTGATTGGCTCAGTAAGGACACCTCTTATTGGATAATACATCGAAGCGATTAGATGAAGTATAATTTGATTGGTTGATTTGTTAAAAGCTTTTATCCAGTAATATCAGCTACAAAGGGTATGGTGTATACTGTGGAATATCTAATATTATCTATATAGCTAATGTTCAGATCAATATTTATGGTCACAGCTAAGTCTTGCAGGAGATACGAGCAAAGTAGTAGTCAAACTACACAAATGTCAACTGTGTCCTGCAGTTACAGGCAGTAAATGTGTCAGTTGCACAAGGAAATCACACTTTCATGATATACTTATGACAAAATCCATTGGAGTAATGCGAAGGATTCGAACTCTCGACGTGGGTAGTCCCAGACCGTGCATTACTCCCATTATATATGTGTGGGTGACAGTGAGACCTGACGCCTGGTGTACTGCAGGAGATGACGGCCCCCAACCCGTGACCCGACCCGCCCGTCGGCGTGACCCGACCCTGCCACCAAGTTTCAGCCTGGTTGAAACTTGCAGGGGGTACCATAATTGTCAATATTGCAATATACCGTGGTTGACAATGTTGCAAGATACCATACCTGACGCTATGGCAAGGTACTATGACACTCGCAACGTAGCATGAATAACACTATTGCAAGGTGCCATTGTTGACACTGGCAAAATAAGATACCTTGCGGTGGTTTGTGGTGATGAAGTGTGTCAAGTGAGCACCTACAGTCGTGTAAGGTGTTGGAGGCTACTGGTAAGGTGAGGCAGTTTGAGGACCCGCGCAAGGTGACTGTCAAATATCGGTCCGTCTAATTACCACAAGCTTCACAATGCTTCCTGGCAATACGTTAGTAATGAATATATATGATATATTTACTCATTATAATGTTGGTACTGAATGTACAACACGAAAAAACATAATTTTAATCTGAAAAATTATCTTTATATAAAGAAATTAGACTAAAATAAAGACAGGTGACGCAAAATCAAGTCGACGATCCAAGCGTCGGTTAGGTTAGGTTTGGTTAAGTTAGGTTAGGTTAGGTTAGGTCAGCCTAACCTAACATATCATATTTATTCATTACTAACGTATTGCCGTGAAGCTTGTGTAGCTTGTGGTAATTAGAGGGACCCGTCAACTATTGTCATGAAGGCTTGACCCTCGCCAGTATGCAGGGGCAACTTCTGCAAGCTGTGCAGCTTTAAATTGTCTGTAATGTCAATATATGCAGGCGAGGAGTCACAATAACGTGGCTGAAATATGCTGACCAGACCACACACTAGAAAGTGAAGGGACGACGATGTTTCGGTCCGTCCTGGACCATTCTCAAGTCGGTCAATGTATGTACCGAGAGATTGTATTCTCTACCCAAAACGTTAGATAACTCAATCAGCAGAAATGGCCCAAGACTTTCCAGCACAGTACAGGGAGCCGGTCGGCCGAGCGGACAACACGCTGGACTTGTGACCCTGTGGTCCTGGGTTCGATCCCAGGCGCCGGCGAGAAACAATGGGCAGAGTTTCTTTCACCCTATGCCCCTGTTACCTAGTAGTAAAATAGGTACCTGGGTGTTAGTTAGGTGTCACAGGCTGCTTTCTGGGGGTGGAGGCCTGGTCGAGGACCGGGCCGCGGGGACACTAAAAAGCCCCGAAATCATCTCAAGATAACCTCAAGATAACAGTCTTTCTACACCTGAGAGGACAAATATGGGCCAGCTCTCACGCAAGAGAAAGAGTTCAAGAGAAAATGCAAAGTTGTTGATGGTAGCCTCTAGAGGGTACGTGATCAACCGGTCTGAGATCAGTACGAGCAGCGGTTCAGTAGTCTAGCTGATCCCCGGTCTAGACTCTGTCTGCCACACCCAATTAAGTGATCAGGAGGTGGAAACACTAGACCCTCTCTGTGGTCTGCGGTTCCTGTGGGGCGTGACCCGACCCTACCCGTTCCTCGGCTTGCCTCACCCTCGGTTCCTGTGACCCCGCCGGTTCGCGTGACTGCTTCGCGTTGACCGCCGGTTCGCGTGACCGCCTCGCGTTGACCGCCGGTTCGCGTGACCGCCTAGCGTTGACCGCCAGCTCGCGTGACCGCCTTTTATGTTGGGGTCATGCGATCCATATGTGGCAGGCCGAGTCGCATGTGGTGTACACACGCACTGGTGTTGTGAGAGTGGTGGGCGGGTGTTGCGTGAGGCGGCCAGCGGCCTGGTGTACTCCACCCAGACACTTCTATATTCCTTACATTATACCCTTCGTGCCAAACAAAAGAATGACTGCGCATGTTTTTCTGATCCTCGTGCAGGGGTCAGAGTTTGTGGTAGTTAGTGATGTCTGCATGCGGCTCTCTGGTCCTCATTTATGGTGGAATTATGCGTTGTGGGGCTTGGGTTCCACTGAGTAAATGCAACAAGCTCTTGGGCCACCAGCTGTGGGCGTGGGGGGCGACTTGGCTTGGTCTAGTGCCTACAGCATTAGGTCAAATATTTAGATAGTGTTCCACGCCCTGATGGCTTGATATTGGTGTCTGATCTTCAGTAGTTGTATGATCAGGGCTTTAGTGAGCTCCTGAATTATCTGATCAATTGGTGGAAGGTAGTTTGTAGCTCTTCCAAGTGCCTTGTTTCGTACTGATTGTAGTTTTTACAGCTTGGGTTTCCTTAAGGTGTGTACTGGGTGTGGCAGACTCGCTACTAGAGCCTTGTAGCAGTGGAGCTCTGTGTTCGTGCCAAGAATACAAAGTCTTCCTGCATTCTCTAAGGTTCTTTGTGTTCTATTAATTCTGTCATGTGTGAGTGAATTTTAATTCGTGTTCCACTAAAGTGGAATCCCGGTAGTGGCCCTTGCACAGTGTCTCTTGCATTGCTGAACAAATCCACAAGGGCCGTGACGAGGATTCGAACCCATGTCTGTGAGCATCCCAGACGCTGGTTGTCGAGGATCAGTGGCTGCTGCTGTGTTGCAGTGTGTGTTACTTGCAACTTTTATTGCTGCCTGTTTTACATTGTTTTACAAAATTGTTCATGACATGGGTTGTAACATTTGTTGGTGGGCAGCGTCGTTGATTGTCCCAGGTACTGGACCATGTGACCAGTCAGTAGTGGTGTTGTGTTACCGGGGGCGGGGGGGGCAGTCCACGTGGTTTAGTAATCCCTTAGTTGTGCTTGCCAGGGTTGAGCTTTGGCTCTCTGGTCCATAGCTCAACCTCTTAGCTCAACCTGTGTAGTGTACATGGTGTGCGGACTATGAGGCTACTCACTCACTCACTCACTAACAAACAGTTTAAGAACCCCACACACAGGGAGCCGGTCGGCCGAGCGGACAACACACTGGACTTTTGATCCTGTGGTCCTGGGTTCGATCCCAGGCGCCGGCGAGAAACAATGGGGAAAGTTTCTTTCACCCTATGCCCCTGTTACCTAGCAGTAAAATAGGTTCCTGGGTGTTAGTCAGCTGTCACGGGCTGCTTCCTGGGGGTGGAGGCCTGGTCGAGGACTGAGCCGCGGGGACACTAAAGCCCCGAAATCATCTCAAGATAACCTCAAGGTAACATTCCTTGTGCCTGTTCCTCCTCATCATACCTTCACGGGAGGAGCCAATGGAGGCAGTAAACACGAGGAAATACTCCTCTGAGGGAAGCAACAGCTTGGGTGATCCGCACAAGCTGTAGAACAAGCCGACACGCATGTCTCCTCCCTAACCTGAATTGTCGATGAGAAGATGAGAGACTTTGAGCTCTCCAGAGAGAGTGAGTGAGGTCAGGCGGACCTCACTCACTCTCTCTGGTGGGAGATTAGTTATGTGGGTGGATAATTAGCTGGTGTTGGTGTAAGGGAGATGACGTGAAGTATACACTACACTTAGTGAAAAGTAGGTCTGGAGGTGTTATAAACATGAGGCTATTAAGGTTAAGATGTTCCGACCATCTCACAAGGAGTTTTTCAAAATATTAAAAATCTGTTCTCTAAATGGGCCTTTAGACCTTACTTGTCCTCTAAATGTGGAGGTGGACCTTGAGGTGTATGAGAAAGTGGATGTGACTAAGCCGAGGTGTCTCCCCCGCAGGTCAGACGCAGTACTTCACCTTCGACAATACTGAGCCAGACATCACCAAGATCGCCCTCTCCTTCTACTCCGGCCTCTTCGCTTACAACGGCTGGTAAGTGTCCCTCCGAGTGTGTGTGTTTACTAGTTGTGTTTTTACGGGGGTTGAGCTTTGCTCTTTCGGCCTGCCTCTCAACTGTCAATCAACTGTTTACTAACTACTATTTTTTTTTTTTCCACACCCCACACACCAGGAAGCAGCCCGTGACAGCTGACTAACTCCCAGGTACCTATTTACTGCTAGGTAACAGGGGCACTTAGGGTGAAAGAAACTTTGCCCATTTGTTTCTGCCTCGTGCGGGAATCGAACCCGCGCCACAGAATTACGAGTCCTGCGCGCTGTCCACCAGGCTACGAGACCCCTGTACTCACCTAGTTGTACTCACCTAGTTGTGTTTGCGGGGGTTGAGCTCTGGCTCTTTGGTCCCGCCTCTCAACCGTCAATCAACAGGTGTACAGATTCCTGAGCCTATCGGGCTCTGTCATATCTACACTTGAAACTGTGTATGGAGTCAGCCTCCACCACATCACCCCCTAATGCATTCCATTTGTCAACCACTCTGACACTAAAAAAGTTCTTTCTAATATCTCTGTGGCTCATTTGGGCACTCAGTTTCCACCTGTGTCCCCTTGTGCGTGTTCCCCTTGTGTTAAATAGACTGTCTTTATCTACCCTATCAATCCCCTTCAGAATCTTGAATGTGGTGATCATGTCCCCCCTAACTCTTCTGTCTTCCAGCGAAGTGAGGTTTAATTCCCGTAGTCTCTCCTCGTAGCTCATACCTCTCAGCTCGGGTACTAGTCTGGTGGCAAACCTTTGAACCTTTTCCAGTTTAGTCTTATCCTTGACTAGATATGGACTCCATGCTGGGGCTGCATACTCCAGGATTGGCCTGACATATGTGGTATACAAAGTTCTGAATGATTCTTTACACAAGTTTCTGAATGCCGTTCGTATGTTGGCCAGCCTGGCATATGCCGCTGATGTTATCCGCTTGATATGTGCTGCAGGAGACAGGTCTGGCGTGATATCAACCCCCAAGTCTTTTTCCTTCTCTGACTCCTGAAGAATTTCCTCTCCCAGATGATACCTTGTATCTGGCCTCCTGCTCCCTACACCTATCTTCATTACATTACATTTGGTTGGGTTAAACTCTAACAACCATTTGTTCGACCATTCCTTCAGCTTGTCTAGGTCTTCTTGAAGCCTCAAACAGTCCTCTTCTGTTTTAATCCTTCTCATAATTTTAGCATCGTCCGCAAACATTGAGAGAAATGAATCGATACCCTCCGGGAGATCATTTACATATATCAGAAACAAGATAGGACCGAGTACAGAGCCCTGTGGGACTCCACTGGTGACTTCACGCCAATCGGAGGTCTCACCCCTCACCGTAACTCTCTGCTTCCTATTGCTTAGATACTCCCTTATCCACTGGAGCACCTTACCAGCTACACCTGCCTGTCTCTCCAGCTTATGTACCAGCCTCTTATGCGGTACTGTGTCAAAGGCTTTCCGACAATCCAAGAAAATGCAGTCCGCCCAGCCCTCTCTTTCTTGCTTAATCTGTGTCACCTGATCGTAGAATTCTATCAAGCCTGTAAGGCAAGATTTACCCTCCCTGAATCCATGTTGGCGATTTGTCACGAAGTCCCTTCTCTCCAGATGTGTTACCAGGTTTTTTCTCACGATCTTCTCCATCACCTTGCATGGTATACAAGTCAAGGACACTGGCCTGTAGTTCAGTGCCTCTTGTCTGTCGCCCTTTTTGTATATTGGGACCACATTCGCCGTCTTCCATATTTCTGGTAGGTCTCCCGTCTCTAGTGATTTACTATACACTATGGAGAGTGGCAAGCAAAGTGCCTCTGCACACTCTTTCAGTACCCATGGTGAGATCCCATCTGGACCAACCGCCTTTCTAACATCCAGATCCAGCAGGTGTCTCTTGACCTCCTCTCTCGTAATTTCGAACTCCTCCAAGGCCGCCTGGTTTACCTCCCTTTCTCCTAGCACAGTGACCTCACCCTGTTCTATTGTGAAGACCTCCTGGAACCTCTTGTTGAGTTCCTCACACACCTCTCTGTCATTCTCTGTATACCTGTCCTCGCCTGTTCTAAGTTTCAATACCTGTTCTTTCACTGTTGTTTTCCTTCTGATGTGACTGTGGAGTAGCTTTGGTTCGGTCTTGGCTTTGTTTGCTATATCATTTTCAAAAATTTTCTCTGCTTCTCTTCTCACCCTGACGTACTCATTCCTGGTTCTCTGGTATCTCTCCCTGCTTTCTGGTGTTCTGTTATTCCGGAAGTTCCTCCACGCCTTCTTGTTCAGTTTCTTCGCTTCCATACATGCCCTATTATACCATGGATTCTTTTGTTGCTTCTCGGATTTTTCCCTTTGGGCCGGGATGAACCTGTTTACTGCCTCCTGACACTTTTGGGTAACATAGTCCATCATACCCTGTACAGACTTGTCTCTGAGGTCTGTGTCCCAAGGTATTTCACTTAGGAAACTTCTCATCTGTTCATAATTCCCCTTTCGGTATGCCAGCCTTTTGATTCCTAGTTCTTTTTGGGGGAGATAAGTCCTAGCTCTACCAGGTACTCAAAGTTCAATACACTGTGGTCACTCATTCCCAAGGGCGCTTCCATCTTAACTTCCCTTATATCCCATTCATTTAGGGTAAATATCAAATCAAGCATTGCTGGTTCATCTTCTCCTCTCATTCTTGTTGGCTCTTTGGTATGCTGGCTTAGAAAGTTTCTTGTTGCCACGTCCAGCAGCTTAGCTCTCCATGTTTCTGGTCCTCCATGCGGGTCTCTGTTCTTCCAATCTATCTTCCCATGGTTGAAGTCTCCCATAATTAGTAGTCCAGATCCATTCCTGCTAGCAACAGAAGCTGCTCTTTCTATTATGTTAATGGTGGCCATGTTGTTTCTATCATATTCCTGTCTAGGTCTTCTGTCATTTGGTGGTGGATTATATATGACTGCGACTATAATTTTTTTCCCTCCATTTGTTACAGTACCTGCTATGTAGTCACTGAAACCTTCACAGCCCTGAATATCCATCTCCTCAAAATCCCAGCCTTTTCTTACCAGCAGAGCTACACCACCCCCACCTCTTCCTTCCCTCTCTTTCCGCATAACATAATAGTCCTGTGGAAACACTGCATTTGTTATTGTTTTCGTGATCTTTGTTTCTGTGAGGGCTATTATGTCTGGGTTTTCCTCTAGTACCAGTTCTCCAAGCTCATTTGCTTTATTTGTAATTCCATCTATGTTAGTGTACATCGCTTTGAGGCTCACTTTCTTCTGTCCCTTCTCAAATCGCCTCCTTGGTGAGTGTTCTGCTGGTGGGGGAGGCTGTTCCATGGGTGTGAGGACCTGTGAGGTGGGTAACAGGATCTCAGAGGATACTGGAATGAGGGGCGGGGGATCCAGTGAAGGGGGAGGGACAGGGAGGGTATGGGGTGAAAGGGGAGGGAGGACGGGAAGGAAAGGGGGGGAGGGAGGACTCGGGAGGAGGGGAGGGGTAGAAGGGTGGGGATTGGGTGTGGGGGGAGGGAGATTTGGCTGAACTTTGAGTGGGGGCAGGGAGGGTTTGGGGTAGGGGGGTTTTCTATGCAGAGGAGGGAGGCGGGGTTGTCCTCCCTTCTGGTGTTACTGGGTAGCTGGTTGTGGGTTCCCCCCTCGCCTCTGGGGGTGTTGTGTTGGGAGCTGTGACTTCCTGGTTTTCCCCTCTCGCCCTGCGCCTCTTCCTTGCTTCTGCCGCCACGGCTCTCTCCTCCCTTGTCATGTCTCGCTGGAGGAATACATTTTTTAATTTTCCCACGTTTTTCAGGGAGCTCTTCCTTGATAGGATCCTCTCCTTTGTGTTCTCGTTTGCAAACACTATCTTTATCATTCGGTCTCGGTCTTTGTTGTACCGGCCTAGCCTGAAAACCTTCTCAATGCTATGCTCGGCCCCTTCCATGTCTAGTGCCTTTAGTACTTCATTCACTGCTTCCTGTGTGTGTGTGTGTGTGTGTGTGTGTGTGTGTATGTGTGTATGAGAGCTTGGAAGCCCCTTGAACCCCATCCAGGTACAGTCCAGGTCCAAACCCCATATTGTTTACCAATTTAAAACTAGGTCTGGGTATTAGCACTAGCTTATGGGGACCAGGTACCCTCGTATTTCTGGGTCTCTGAGTTAGAGTTTGTCATGTATAAATACTATTAAAAGATTCCCCTGCTTTGCACTCGCTAGATAACGTAAGTTTAAGGGCTGGTTAATGTTAATCTTCTTGTCTGATGAGCTGTTCACTTGAGACAGTTAAGTCCCAACTGTGTCTGGGTGCAAGTGACAGGATGAACAACCCAGCGGGTATTCTTCCTATTGGGGAGTGTTGTACATGATGCTATGGCGATGCTTGTGTCAGACTGCGAGAAGCAAGTAACAACAGTCTGAATGATCACACCATCAGACAGGAAGCCTGGTGAGAGACTGGACGTAGGGGGGCACCGACCCCCTCCCCCCCACCTTACGGGAACTACCAAAAAGCTTCCCATTGTGACAACGCCCACTCTCCTCTTACCCCCCATCACCCGTCTCCACCACCCCCCATCACCACCCCCCATCACCCGTCTCCACCACCCCCCATCACCCGTCTACACCACCCCCCATCACCCGTCTCCCCCCCCCCATCACCCGTCTCCACCACCCCCCCCATCACCCGTCTCCACCACCCCCCATCACCACCCCCATCACCCGTCTACCACCCCCCATCACCCGTCTCCACCACCCCCCATCACCCGTCTACACCACCCCCACCCGTCTCCACCACCCCCCCATCACCCGTCTCCACCACCCCCCCCCCCATCACCCGTCTCCACCACCACCCCCCCACCACCCCCCATCACCCGTCTACCACCACACCCCTCCACCACCCCCCATCACCCGTCTCCACCACCCGTCTACACCACCCCCATCACCCGTCTCCATCACCCGTCTCCACCACCCCCCTCCACCCGTCTCCACCCCTCCACCCCCACACCCGTCTCCACCACCCCCAT